CGAAAAAACAAGATTATTATATCGTTAAAAATTCATGGGGTGAATCATGGGGAAATGATGGTTATATTTGGATGTCACGTAATAAGAAAAACCAATGTGGTATAGCAACGGCGTCATCATATCCACTCGTTTAAAGACATCACTTAGTACTTTGTTCTTTTTTGTTTTCGATATGTGCAATAAGTGTGTTTATCTTCTTTTCCATAAAATTTGTACAGTAAAACGTCAATGTAATGGGCACCAGGCTAAACGGATCACTCTGAGGAGGAACGATGTCATCATAATGTGGCTTCGAAGGCGCTTTTCACTTGAAAGCAACCATCCATCGCTCTCTACAAGAAAAACCCGAACGCTCATTTTAAGGGAAAATTTTTCTTTTCTGATACTATACTTCACTGGTTTACACTTAAATAATCAATACTTTTGTCACCGACATTCTATTCTGTTGTAACAGTATAGATAACGACATACTAGGATAATCTTAAATACTTACGCATTAGTTCACATTAAAGATGATTTTCGTGGCGATGATGTATGCAGAACACTCTCATATATTTTAGACACAGCTGCGAACGTCAGTTGAGTCGACCTGGAAAGTACTCAAAATCAATTTTGGCTATTTACTCTCTTAGCAAAAGTAGTGGAATTTTGCCTTTTCTCCAAAAATCCATAATCTTGGACCAAGTTTATTTTTGTTGGGGCCAGATGAGCGGTGCCCATCGGAAAATAAACAGTTGATTTAGTTTTAGCAAAAATTCTTTTAGCCAACAGCCCTTCCAAAAGTTCCAGCCGCCCACCCGATAAATAAAACGTAGAATGAAATGGATCTCGGCACTGATTTAGAACTCAAGCTCACACTAAGAGAAAGAAAACACGAAATTCTTTATGCAGACCTCTGAATTGCACTACTTTCAGTAAAGGGACGGAGCAATCCAACTGTTCGGATTGAGAAAACCTATTATTTTCTCGTTCATCGAACGAATAATACTAGATAGCTTTCCAGTCTATCGAAGAACTGAATTCTATTTATTTAGGATTTATCTAACTGTGCTAACTCGCATAAGTTTCTGCGATATTCAGCAGTTAGAACTAATTTGCTGAACTTTGTGTGCGTTTTAATTGTAGATTATGTAACGAGAAGAAACATATCCCAATGAACAATCGATGATGTGCTTGCAGAGCTAGAAACATTTATCAACGATGAATGTACTATCGAGTAATTCAAAGGTAAACCCATAATTATATTTTTCTGTCTCCTCCGCTAACGTCAGACAAGAGTATTTTAGTATGATTTTTTGAAAAGTGATGTTTTTTAAAATACGGATCTTTTTTACAGTGTAGATAGTGTAGTTAGGTTTATCGATCATCAAGCAAGCATTTCTCAGAGTTGAATCTAGATACAATAGTATGTAAAACTTAATTTTCAACATGTTTTCTTCTTGACACAATGTTCGAAAACGATCCCTTTGTACTAATTAATCAGAGATGATAAATTAAATCGCATTTTCACTATAAAGGAAGCGTTTCTTAAATTTGTGCCAAGAGGAAAAGATATTAAAAACTTGATGTTACATATTATTGTCTCCACATTCAACTCTGAGAAATGTTTCCTTCATGAAAAGAAGTTATAGTATACAATTTCCAACTCGCTGCAACTAGTTGAAAATCGTGCTACCCAATTCGTTATTAGACGAAAGAACTTCTCCACAAGAAAAAGTTGATTATTTAGACACGCATGGTAAAGGCTTATTAGAAATAAAATGTCCATATTCAAAAACAGATATGTATCTCTATCCAATCCGAGTACTTCAAATTTTTGCAACTTTTCACGTTGAAAAATCATCGAGGTTTTTACCAAAAAAAAAAATAAAGTAAACCTTTCGAAATACATACCAGTCGATTGGATTCTTGATCCTGATTCTGCATATGACATTTTTATTACATAGAAGTTGAGTTCTGTTGGAGAAAATTGAGAAATACGAGCAGAATTCGGCCTTTTTCCACCTGATTTAGACAAAAATCCATAGAAACCAAGATCACATAATACGCCGACATTATCAGACCCCTGCGTTTGTTCAGTTTTTAATTCTCTATCCAACCACGTTTGAACTGAATCTATACTGCAACAACTATTATAGCTCAAAACACACGGTTTTCTGGAACTCCTACTTCCGTGGGTTTGGCAGGAAACTTTCTAGAGACGAAAAGAAAGAGAACCTGATGAAACCTCTAAACACTGACTTTCATTGTTTGGTCTGGTAGTTTCGGAGATAGTTCCTGATATAACACGCCTATTGGATTCGCATGTTCGTGGATGCAGTAAAATCTCTATTAGTGAACACCTGTCTAAAGTGAACAACTCCTTATTATGAACACTCTCGGATTCGGCGGGGTGATTTTTGCGAGAAATATCTCTCTATTCTGAACACGAACAGCTGTTTTGCGGTTCTTCTTACTGTTATAACCTCTCTAATGTGAACACACATGCCATGTTTCTCTCTCTACACTATAATCTTTCTCTTATTTACTAAAACTGCCTACCTTTCTGTACTAGAACTAACTATTGTAGACATGAAAAAAAAGAAGGACATCACCATACGAGCTGACTTTGGAAAAATTGCATTAATTAATGATAAGGAATGTACAGAGATGAAGAATAGAAGCTTCAGGACTAGCGTAGAAGTAGACACTCTAAAACTTTTTCATTTCGCAGCAAAACATGCATCAGTTCTCTAAAGTGAACACCTCCCTATTGTGAACACTTTTGAAAAGTCCCGATGGTGTTCAAAATAGAGAGGTTTTACTGTATATTTAGTGTCATTGGCTAGTCTTAGAGCATTTTTATAAAAAGTCAAATCTGGCAGTCAGTTGAGCGTCCAATATATCGAGCTGTATTTATTTAAAGAAAAACTTCGATTAAGAACAACAGAGTTCATTCAACCTCGTCATTAGTCAATAGAAATCCGTTCTTTCTCAATGGACCCTTATCCCAATGTTCAGTTATGCCAGCTGTGAAATCGCTTCGCACTATTTTACCGCGATTGACCACTTGTCCGCCTTGTTCCTCCTTGACATATATACCTTCGATAGGTCCATTGTAGAATTGAGATGGATGCTGCACCATCTCCTTCAGTACATTCTCTGTCGGTCTCGGCCCGCGATATATAACTGGTACCAAAGAGATGTTTGTTCCTTCTAGTAAGCGTTCAAGCGCATCTCGATCTGCCCACGATTGCATTCGACGGTCGAATAAATCGAACGCAAGAAATTGATTGGGTAGCCGAGTGTAGGGAATCGAATGCGTAGCTACGAGCCATTCGCCATAGAGAATAAATCGTTCAGGAAATGAAGGATCGCGATCCAATATACTATAAAGACTCTCACGATGTACCTCGATCCAAACATGAAGTGGACGAAACTGTGCATGTGTTGTCGATGTTATGTAATGCGAACGATTTTGTACGAGTAGTTGTCGATCAGCTGAAAGCGAGAAACCCATATTAGCACCATCGACCTTTTCAGTGATGACAACATACGGAGAATGAGTGGAATCACCAAGTGGTACAAGAAAATCGTCCGAAGTTGCAGCACCTAAATTGATGAGATGACCAGTGCGCAAGAATTTTTGAATCCCTAGTGGAGTCAATCGTCTAATCAACTCGGTCACTGCGTCGAACGACCGTACGGTGCATACAGCAACAAATCCTTCCTCGAGTGTTGGTCTTTCCATTTGTTCCGCCATAGCTGAGACTGCCGTTCGTACTCGCTGACCAGGCATAAGAGTCGGATGGGCTGCACGTTGTTGTGCTCGAGATACACACAGTTCGGAATTATAGTCAAAATAGACACAGATAGGTTTTCGTGCCCAATGTGCAAGGGCAAGCCACTGCTTTCGATCCTGTCGATCTGGATTGCAACGATCCAAAATTGATTTTGAGTACTTTCCAGGTCGACTCAACTGACGTTCGCAGGTGTCACGTGATCTCGCTTCATCTTGTGAGACGACCGTCCACTGATTGTCTCTTACGGTCAACATTTGAGCTACGTATGATTTTCCTGAACCAGGCAAGCCGCAAAGCATTATCAAATCAATATTACCGTCTAATTGTCCCTCGATTTCAAGTGGAATTCCCTCAGGCTCAACTGGTAGAGGAGGTACAGCCGAACGTCGCTTCCATACGGCACTGACAAATGTATGTATGAATCGTTCTTGCTCTTCTGTTTCAACGCTTCCCGGTCTCAAATGTCTCAGTTTAACGATAGCTTCATCAGCTGACATAACCGGTTGACTCCATTCTTGGGCTGATGGTGATTGAAATCCGTAAACCGCTAGATAACAGGCGATCATTGTACCTGCTCGACCTTTTCCGCCACCACAATGAATCAGTAAAGGTGTCTTCGACGAATCATTCATTAATCGAAGAAATAGATCAACTTGTTCGATAGTCGGCGCTCGATAATTGTCCATGGGTAGATGAGTATGCGAAACCGTTTTATTCACGAACCATTCTTCAGGCAACGGTCCTTCTTCAGTCAATGTCACTACATGTCGAATGCCAAGATGAGCAGAAGCAAGAGCATCGATATCACGTTCATGGCGAGGAGTCGACATTACTGACAGAAAGAACGGAACAATCCAGCGAAAGAAACGAGGTAATGAGTATAGTTCTAAATAAGACAAGATATTTTATCCTTTAGAAACGTTAAAAACATTTAATAGCATAGTTCATTTTGACCTACATAAAAAGAATCTTTAGCTATCTCTCAAATTTTCAACAGTCTAGATACTTTTCAGCTATATATATATATCGATTAAAATTTGTGTATCTCGCAAAACTTTTACTTTACTTCGATCACTGATACTTTTGGTTAAAACCACTTTTAATTGTTATTGACGTAAAAAATCTGAAATCAATCTTAAAATTTGGAAAACTATTGAATGTAAAAAGTGATCTGTACTGATTTCTAAGGAGATCCTCTCGTGTAAGATTGTACATACCTAGCCTTTGATCCAGTTGTCGCGAGTTATCAAAAGGCATAATAAAATGTTCTCGTGGATTTTGGCTAAACTGTGGTTGTTCATTCGAATAGATATTAATAAAATATTCTCGAATTGTTTGTGTCCATGGCATAATGAGATTCCCTTTCAACTCGTCTGGAATCTGATCTAATTCATTTTCGGCAAAGAGACATCCCCATTCGGTATAATTGGCACCACAAGCAAGCATTCGTCGACAACAATAATCTCGAATTTTTCCACTACCTTGTCCATCGGCAAGATGCATTGCTCGTGCATTAGCAAGTATAGCAAGTTTGTATTGTTCATTTCGTCGTGCGATATCACCTAAGCGAAGCCAACCTTTTTCGGAATTTGGAAAACGAATACACATTTCTCGAGCATACAAATTAGCTTGATCGAACTGATCGGCAAGATTGTAAGACAGAACAAGATGATCAATAGCGTTCAAGTCAAAATTATCGATAAGAAATGATCCATGTAATGAATAAATACTTTTGTCAAGTGAATGATCATCAGTTGTACTAAGAGTTATGTGAAAATGTTTGATAAGTAAACCGTGTTTTTTTCGAAAAAGATTTCCAGCATTCCAAATGATAATTACCCAACAAACACTCTTCGGATCACCACCAATACCGAGTGAAATAAGATGTTTTGTATCAATTTTTGTCGCATTCTCGTACAAATCAGATAATTTGTTCGATGAATCTGTCGACAATTGACGTATTTCGTCTTTAGTGACAAGAGTTACATGATAAGGTGACGAAGGTACAGTGGTAATACCAGCAGCAGCAGCAGCCTCGTTGGCAATAGTGTCAATACGAGTACCGAATGCACCAATATAGCCGCCGCCACGTTTGATTACTACATCATCGTCAGCCATAGACGCACTTAACTATAAAAAAAATTAATTTCTAACGAATATTTAATTAATACTAATAATTTCGTATATATTGACATTCTTCGACCTTTCTACGTTTCTTATAAAACTAAGTATATTTAATATAATTGAAAAACATTTTTGTAAAATCATTTTACATAAAACGCGAGCTTTCGATACTTCACAGTATCATCATCAGGCTAATATAACTGTGAATTTAGAAGAGAGATGATTATATATACTAGTTAAAACCGGGGAGAACAAAAATACTAGAAAAACTTAAACATAGACTCGCTTTTTATGTAAAATGAATTAACAAAAATGTTTTTCAATTATATCAAATATAATAATTTCATTTTTACTATAATTCCTAAGCTGACTAGGGAACCACCCGAGATTATAAATCGATTTCGGATTGGAACCATTTTTGTTAGAAAGGCCCTACAGAGTAGCGAAATACCCCAACTTGGTTCATCCTCTGTTGCTGAGATACTGAATTTTTAGTCAGTTTTTACCTATAGAGCTTGGATTTCGAGCAAAATCCGACTTTCGAATTT